TACCTATCTTACTTATATATATATATATATATATATATATATATATATATATACAAATATATAATAAGTCCTCATATAGGAACATATTTTCATAGCTCATCAACGAAAAGTTCCTTATTTCAGCAGTATAAAAACATCTCTGGCAGGATTTGAACCTCTGAACTCTGGCTCGCAATGCAAGTACCCACTAGACCACAGAGACCTAAGAATATACATGCAGTTCTAATCCTCAGGAATCTTCTCTCATACAATTGACTGAAACTCTCACACATAGTAGAGTTGTGGTAAAGCTACAACAGTTCATAGGTCAAGACATCATAAAACAATTCCTCTTTTATCCATTCAAAAATATGTTTAAAAAAAATAATAGACCTGAAATCACAGTGCATTTCGAATTTGTGGAATCATTTAACCTCACCACCTTCTGCAATTTTGTTTCCCTTGTCACCATGTTTTTCATTTCTATGTTAATGTTTTATATTTGTGTAACCCATTTAATGTTCTTATCTGATTTTGTAATTCATTGCCTTGCATCTCTGTGATCCATATTTGACATATGCCTGTAATTCTGCCTCCTTTATTTCATATATGTTTATGTCTTACTGAATAAAGTGGTTTTATATATTTAGGCCTACAAAAACGATAATAAATTCTAAACTATCGTCTAATGGTAATGAACGTTATAGATCAGCGAGTGTTTACAAACTAGGTACCCCGATCTGGCTTCGAACCCGCGACCTTCTGCTATTTATGTCAACACCTTATAATAGGCCATTGTGGCTTTGTTGTAATTTCAATTCCGATAAAGCATTTAATTCTTCACATCCCTATGCATATCTAGTTGAACAGCACCAATCCAATATAGTAAATTACAGAGATAAACAATGCCCTCTTCCTATAAGCATTTGACAACAAGACAGAATCGCAGAAGAGATATTTTTATATACATGAATTATAATATTTAAGCTCTAAACAGTCTTGCGGTAAGGCTAAAAATGTGCAGATAAGTTATTAACTTATTATTTATAACTTAACTATGATACGTTATTAAGTTAGTTAATTAGTTATTAACTTATCTCAGAGGGATCTGAGAGTGTGAAAAATATGGGCCCCCAACTTTCTATCTCTACAATATCATGAATTATTTACAGGAAATTCCCAGTTACTGTATTTTAACCATGGCCAATATCCACAGTTGATGTAAATCGTTTCAAAAAACGCTAAAACAATATTTAGACTAATTTACTTAAGGCCTATTAATCCCTTTTTTCTGAAAAGTAATAGCTAGGCCTAATACTGCCCAAATATTTCAATTCAAATCTTCCTTTGTTAAGCACTGAGCAGACCACTACCTTAATTTTGATCATATTGACGCCTGTTGACTTGCTAGGATAAATATTTTTCAGAACAACTGTATACATTTTTTTTCTTGGTTGATCAGAGATAGGCCTACAACTACAAAGTTATCATCACATTCTTCCGAAAAGGAAATAACACCTTCCTTACCTTTAAAACGCAACATAAATGCAAAGAAAGTTCCGTAAGTATAGCCTTTTGTGTTAGGCCAATACAGCCTTTCCCCTGCGTGACATCAAATAATAATATGAAGGGCTAAAAAATGTCGGCAGATTGATGTTGTTAAAGTGTAATGAAGTGTTTCGGATGGCTTCATAATGTTTATGGGTATAGTTTAGACTGTAGAGATGTTCGAATAGTTATATTGTATCCGAAATATCGTATTCTTATGCCTATTATAAAAGGACATAAATGTGCTTGATTGTTTTGAAATACAATAAGCAAACACTACAAACACTTCCCGCTATCAAAGGGGAAATTGGCACAATCCCAAATTCTCTCTCTTTTTTTCATGAGACATTTTAAATAATTACTTATGTAGTAAAAACAATGTTTAAATAATCGGTACATAGAGAAACAACTTTTTTCAGAATCAGTACGGTTAATGAGAAACAGATTTATTGAATATTTGAAAATATATATATATATATATATATATATATATGTACATA